CTATTTCCTGCATCAAGTATCACAGCCAGGGAATAATCCAATACCCCTCCCCAAGTCTGCTGACAATTCTGACTGCTTAATTGCTGCTTGAAACTTTGTTAATAGCCCTTACCCTGTGAAAGGCTATGAGCAGTTATAGATACATTTGTTGAGAAGCAGAAGATATACAATGTCAAAACTGAAAAGTGAGCAAGGGGAAATCTTCCCTCGCACACAGAGCAGCTGGAAAAGTGAAGGGACAACAGCCGCTAGCTCATGTTTTCTCTCTCCACACTTGTCAGGTGTGTCTGCTCTGTATTTTCACTTTGGATACCAAGATCCTGGTAATGCTATAACTGTACAAAGACACAGACTTAGCCACTGTATTAAATAGACAAAAGCTTACTGTGGAATAACTGTAAAGTTTTCCATATATCAATGGTATTTTTGAGTATTAAAGTAGGGTTGTTTTACCCAAAACACAGATATCCATCTCAGATACCTTGACAACCTCACACCTGCAGATAGAATGCAGGACTTAGGAGGACCTGCAGCCCTTTGAATCAGGATATGGAGACCTGCTCAGACTGTTCACAGTGCCTAAGTGCCAGTAAGTTTCCATGTTCAGGCCACTGAATGTGGTGCATAAATGCTATTGCCAAGCTGCTCAGGCAGTTGGAACAAGCTGATCTGTAGCTATAGCTAGATACCTTAAATACTCATTTCCATAGATGAGATGTGATTCTGTATAAAGCTTCTTACTAAGTTCAGTGTGCTTTGATCCATATATCATTGCAGTATTCCTTTAGCTAGTGAGTTGTCTTGAAATAAAGTATTTGCTGTGGAGGAAATATAAACAAGCTGAATTTAAATGAATAGCTTTATGTTAAATATTCAAATCTCCTCTAATGTACCAGATAACTGGAAGTGGCATTGCCTGGTTTGCTTTGCTGTGCAGCCACGTGTGCTTTCCTCAGCAAAAGATGCCTCTTCCTTCTTCCCTTTTTAAACTGTGTTCTGGGACTTCCATGCAAAACAAAGAGGAGAGTAGGAAGGAGGCAGATACTGTGCAGGAGAACAAAAGCCCTTCAAATAACTCTTTTAGAGGCATTTCACACTTTAATTGAATAAATTGTACAGAAAATCCAAAGTCTGTAGAATATAACTCCCCAGGTGCTCTCAGCTACTACATCTGCAGCTGTTTATATTCAAACTAGGTAATTTAATACAGCTACATCTGTATATATTGTACGGTGTATTTTAAAATCAAATGGCTATGAATTTTAATTTGGAACAAAGCAAACACCTATGAAAAGACATTTGGTTTCTCCTTGGACCTTACTGTTAATCTCTGAACATTAAAGCAATATTAAAAATAGAGCACTGTGCTGGCACAAAAGCTCTGTTCTCAATGGGTGCGTAATGTCACTAAGATGACACACATGCACCAAAAAATAAATGTATCATGTCAGTTGGCAAATCAGTTACTGCTCGGTGTTCCCCAAGGGGAGGGATTCATGCATGAGGCTGCCAAAAGAAGGGCCATGATTCAGTTTGGCAGGGGCACTGCCTGTTCACATTTTCACTTAATTGCTCCTTGTAATGTGAGATGTGGTGACACAGTGGCTAGAATAATAGGAAAAAACAAATGCACAGAATCCCATATATGCCAGAATCTCTAAATGCTCTGTTTATTTTGCCATTGATCATTAGAGATAAGAATAATTAGTGTTTCATTTTCTCCTACTTTTTTTCCCCCATCATTTCTGCTTGGGTGATGCAGAAGTCAACAAATGACCTACATTAAAACAGGATATACTGCCCGGTTGATTGCTATTGCTAGAGTCAAACTGCTTGTGTCTCACTCTGTAACTTCTCCAACACACGTAAGAAAGACTAAAGATACTTCTAGTCCCCTGTATGGCCAGGGATGTCCTGTAATTGTCAGCTCCATATTTCTCTCCTAAAGAGCTGCCCTCAGCTAAAAGGAGAAAAAAGATTATGTACAAGGTTTTACAAATTTGGCAGATGGTAGAGTAACTGAGGAGGCTGACAATGAGCAGCTAGATAACACAAGACAGGATACCCTTCTGTGTGTAAGGAAACCTCTCCTTCTGGAACCTCAATATATAAAACTGATTTGATTTACTGGAGGTGGAGTTGCTGGTACAGGGGAGGCTGGGAAGGAAGAAACCTCATGGATATATTGGGTCAGCTTCACTGGGTAAAAGGAAAGAGACGAAGAAGGCTGGAGGGGATGGACAGTGTCAGGGATGGGGGCAGGATGTCCTGATGGCTGCCAGCACAAAGCCCTGTGATCCCAGCTCCAGCTGCTCATTTACTGGCACCAAGGGAAAGGGCTTTGCTTCATTTGTCCACAATAAGCTCTTCTACTCCTTGTGCAGTTATCATTAAGATGTGTCCAGTGCTGAAAGACGCCAACTATTAAATTATATAAAAGTGAAGGTTTAACCACAGAAGCTGCCAGGCACTCCTACAATGAGCATTTATCAGCCATGTAGAATGTCCCCAGGTTATGTATTCATCAAATGTTTATTGATTTAAGCTTTGGGCATTTTACAGGATTAGAAATTATTACTTCTGATTTAAATAGTGTTTAGGGGACAGAAATCAAATACAAAACACTATTTATAAACAATAGATTTTTTAAGGATTGCACATCAGAAATACTGAAGAGTATGAGACTTTTTCCAGTGTTTTAGAACTCAGGAATAAGCCTCTACCTAGAGCAGCTAGCTGAGTATTAGAAATGAAGTGGACCCATTTTTCACCTTAAGTGAGACTGATGCTCTTCCCAGTGACTGTTTGGAGCAGAGGAGATCAGGCCTCCTGAAAATCTTTGCAATTACATGAGAACACAGAAACATGGACTTTGCCTGCTTGTTGCTCTCATCTGGTCCTGACAGTCTGTTCATAAGCAACTGAAAAATGATAGAACTCCCTTCTTTTTAATCCTACACTGTTCCCAAATGCAGGCAGCAATCATGGGTTGGATATTTGAACTCCACTGAAAATGGTACTTGGGCACTCAGGAAAGGGGCTATCTAATGAAGAGAGGAAATGTCCTCCCCATTGCAGTGAAAGCTGATCTGCCACAGAGATGCACTCATTAGCACATAGTCTTATACAGAAATGATGCACTCTTTTGGAAGAACAAAGCCTTCACATGCTTTGTGTGCAAGCATATAGATATACATACATTAGCTATTGCACTTATCTCTGAAAAAGCTTTATCAAAGTAATAATCCCCTGAATGTGGTGCAGTCGCTTGGCACACGGGGCTCAGCAGTGATGGGTCACAGCTGAGACTCTGCCCTGGATGGTCCTACCACCAAAGGTACCAACAATTTGCTGTTCCTCATCTCCAGCTTTCATTTTCTCTTAAGGAAGTTCATTTAAGGATATATTTATTTATCTTAAAGGTATAACCATTTTATGTATTACCTTGGTCTTTAATGGCTTGTTGTGTATGTAGCCATAGGAGTGTGACATTTGTTTATAGCCATTACTTGTTTTAAATGAGGGACATCTTACACAGCAATTTGTCAGTAGTTAAAGAGCCTGGGGCTAGGCATAGACATTCACTTAGAGAATCTTTAGACTATTTTAAATAGGCCTTTGGGACCTCCTTGCTGACCAGCCTATAACATGCCCTCCTGTAGCATCTCACTGTGCTATTTCTTTTAATTGACTAACCTCGACACTGGCTCTTCAAAATCACTTTAACCCAAACATGCCCCCGGTCTGAAGCTCCTAATGACCTTCCCCTGGCCCTAAACACATATGGCTGAGACAATGCAAACATCATTTGGAAGATGAGTAAATTCAATAACTCAATTACCACTGCACCAAAATAACATTTATCAAACACTGGCCACAGTGGTTTGTATCTTTAGCTCTCTGTGTTTCAATGGCACGACATTTGGGTGAAAGTAACTAATCGATTTAGGAATGATTAAATAGAAATTTGTAACACTTGGCATTATTAAACCTTCAATCTTCATTACAACTGCTTAACGATTACATCATGGGCTGTGTAAAATAAATTAACAGTAGCTGGAAACGATCTCATCATAAATAAAGAAAGTACAGGTATTGGACTGGCGTTCAATAGAAAGTCTAATAGAAATACATATGTTGTGGAGTTATTAGTAGGTTGTACATGCTGAGGTTTGGAGAGGTTTTAAGATTGAAAATATGTAAAAAAGCCCAACTCCATTCACCACCACCCTCAATAAGTATCTCACATAGAATGCATTTATTTCAAAGGTGGAGCAGTAGAGCCAGCAGCTCTAGGAACAGAGATGAATAACAGGTCCCCCCTGCATCCTCCCCTAAAGCAGAAGAAAGACTTCCTTCCCAGGCAGCTGACATGTATCCCAGCTTGTCCTCATGGGCTCTCAGCCCCTCATTCTTTCTCTGAAGTTCAGTGGGTTTCTAGTTCCTCCTGCTCCTCAGACACCCAGAAGGTCCTTTCTTTTAATTCTATAATAACCAAAGCACTTGACATTTTAAGTAAGTTAATTTAAAAAATGATTTTGAAAACTCTTTAGAAGTCTTTCAATTATCTTCCTACCAGCTTTGCTCAAACCATGACTTTTGCATGGTCATCCACCTATCCTAGGTCACTCATGTCTTATCTTGCTATTCCTAAAATACTTTTGGCTGTTCTCATGGTCTGTCCTTAGTGTAATCAGCAGCTCTGGCTTCAATGGACTTCATCAACTTTTTATTCTAGAAATGACAGTACACTGACTCTGCTCTCATGAAATTTCTATGCAGCATCAGCCATGGCATGAAGGACTATGGGTGCAATGCATTCTGCAAATAAATACCTATTTTGAAAGGTTTGCACACTGTTACTGCTACATGAAATCAAAGCATTTCCCTAAAAGCTACACTGGTGAGCTATTAAGTAAATAAATTTGGTCTGGGGATCACTACAGTTATGTACTTATTTATGAAATGCTTACGTGGAAATTTTTTTTAATCTATTCTAGAAAGAGCAATGAGCTGGGGGTATGAAGAAGCCTGTGGTGCTGCCCTGCTTCGCACTGTCTGCAAGGCCATGCTGAGATCCGAGAGGACTTTCCAGGTAGCTGTAATCTATATTTGCTCTTTGGACTTATGCCGTGCTCAGCTTGCCTGGTATTTGAGAATGTGTGCCAGAAGGTTCAAACACCAAAGCTTTAATCCCCAGCAGTAACATGTAAATAGCCTCTACCTTTACGTTCAGGTTCAAAAAACAAAGCAGCCTTTTCTTTTCTTCCCTACTACCAATTCATTTAGGAGGTGAAAAAGAAAGAAGCAATGAACCTAGTCCTGAATGGCTAATGAAATAAAATCAAAACTCAAGTAAAAAATGTTTAACAAATATTTAACAAATATTATTCAGCCCTCTAGAAAGGATCGTACAACACAGGACTGTTTGCCAACACAACAGCCATTAATGTTTCAATGAAAAATAATTTATATCACAAATCTCCTGCTAAAACTGGAATTTAAATGTAAGTCCCCAAACCCATTTCTATACCATGACATATATTAAATAATAAATCAAATATTATTGACAATGATAAATACAGTCTCTTGCTAATTTTTTTTTTTTTTTTTTCCGAAAGGAATCAAGAGAGATGATGGCTGCATTAAAATAGCTCAGCCCTATCATTTTCCTCCAGTTTCAGGAATATAGCAAATGCCATTATTATATTCAAAGTTGTTTTTTTTAAAGCTAAGAAAATAAGCCATTCAGTGAAAGCAATCAGCATGAGGTATTTAAGGCCCTTTTCTTATTTTATTATGTAAATAAACCCTTGTTAAGTGAATGAAAAGAAAAAAAAGGAAGTGAATATCTGGAGGATAAAGATAAATATATGAACAATGGGTAGAAAGGAAAACTTAAGAAAGCAAAAATATTATAACTTGAGTCATGAAGGAAATACCCATCCAAATGGCTGCTGTCCCATGGCTTGTAACTACATCCACCTTCACTACCTGGCACTGCACTGGGGTACAGCTACAACAGCCCTAGAATCATGGCACAGATCATGCAAATCAAGGTACTATAATTAATAAACTATAGTGTATCAGTTACCTCTGGCTCCTTAGGCTGTTAATTCAAACAGAGTTTACTTATTTTCACTTAGATTAAATCTATTTGAATTATTTAAAAATATGCTTTATGTTCAAAAAATTACAGTACACCCCAAAGAGAAATATTTGCCTCAATCAACTCAGTCATTGACTTTTGTGAGTGACAAATTAGAACTAAAACAGTTTATTTCATAAACTGATGATATGCTGTGAAAATAAAATGTTTGGACCTTTTCTATAATATTTCCAAATATTTAATGGCATATTTAGAAAATATAAAGATGAAATGTATATAAATTGTAATGGTTTCGCAGTTGTTAACATGAAATACATAGAATACCTTTTCCCTGCAGATGGAGGTATGTACCACATACTGTTTAGTGGCTTATATTTATGTATTGTAGAAAAGGGTTATACTATAAAACCTCAATAAGTCTGATTTTGGGACGTTCTGCCTCACTTACAAGAGAGCTTTGCTAATAAGCTGCGAAGTTTCACATGTCAAATACATCTGTATTAAAAAGATGAGTTGACTGGTAGGCTGACAGCTGGAAAAGGTTTTATCTCAGTGCTATGGGTTTGATTTATGCCAGTTGAGCAGCCCGGTGGGTGAAGCTAGTTGCTGTCCTGTGGGAATGGCATTCAAATCCCACAGCAACAGTACCCTAAAGCACAGGTAAGATGCTAAGCACACTGGGACAACAGTGGCCTGTTGCTCTAAAACAAGTTTCCATCTTGTGCTGAAGTGGTAAGGGAGAAAGTTTGCTCTATTTCTGGCTGGTTCTATATAGCACTGTGCTTCTCTAAAAACAGAACTTCTCCTTAAAAGTGAGGGAAGCTTATGATATTGATCCAGAGATAGGGAGCATGTCTACAGCCATACTCTCAGAAGCCCAGTCCAAAGCTTCATGGACTCAATAGAAGGATTTCTGTAGACTTCAAAGGCCTTCACATCAGGTTCTGGGAGCGCATGCATCCCATGAGAACTTGAAGAAAATATCAAAGAGTCCAGAAAATCAGATGTTGCCTTAGTTTATTTTATGACCACACTACATCAGAGATTATCTCTGTGGTTGATATGAACACAATTTGTGGAGGGCTAAAGACTTAACAGTTGAGCCTTGTTCCAAATCCTGTACCATAAACGTTCCCTAATCTCTCTGCCTGGAATGTGCACAGTCTCAGCCTGCTCTGACTTCACTTCAGTCCTGAGATGTCTGAAGCTTGGAGAGACAGCTGAGCTTGGTTATCAGTGACAACTGGGCATCTTTGCAAGTGTTTAACTTTGCTAAGCTTTGTTTAGCTTCTGCAGACAGTTTTAAGAGTTGCTACTGACATACATCCCACCAAGTTCTGCACTAAGTTAACTGCCAAATAATTGAGAGCAGATGTAGGGCAATAATGCAGCAAACATGATAGTCTTGTTATCAGTTCATGAGACAGCAGATGATCCTTTCTATCTTTAGGAAAGACACTTTGAAATGATTACTGTAACAGCACTGCATCCCTCATAGTGCAATGATCTACAGCCGCAGGGTAAAGCGCTCAATGTTTGGGATACTGAGAGCAGTCAGGATTCAAACACAGTTGTAGATGTTTGAGTTCAGCTCTCTACACTTCTCTGTGGTAGTTCTTTCATTTTTGTTTATTTGTGGAGAAATAAAGAGAGTAATGTGGAACTGTGAAGCTAATCTAAAATGTTTCAGCTAGACGTGTTTTAGTTGGCAGCATAATAATAACTTTGTAATGACCTCACAATAGCATTGGGGGTATTGGAGCATGAATGCAGCCTACACTTGTAAATGTCCAAGTGTTTATGGAGGAGGATAAATTTATTCCCAGAGTTCAACTGCTTCTCAGCAAGTTATGGCTACTCTGCTTCAGGTTTGCTGCAGGTGTTTGGTGCTGGGGAGCTGTGTGAAATGAGGCACTGAAAGCAGCTGGGTACAGCAGTGGTGGGAGGTGGGACTTGGACGCTGCTCTGGTTGCTGTCAGCCCTCTGACCACTCAGTGCTGGTTTTATTTGGTATAGAAGTACTCATCCATCTGTGTCAATCTGATCTTAGAAGGATGTCAGAGCAGATATTCTGATTACCACTGATTTGCAAAGGCAGTATAAATAAGAGCTGCCTGTAATTGAACGTAGTCTTTGAGAAGGTCCTGTAACTTACACTGAAGGAATGTCAGATATAGCAGGAACTGAGTGTTCATATAGAACACAGCTGTACTTGCAACCTCTCTTTTCTTACCAGCGTGTTTAAAGTTGTAAGGACTTTGTCTGAAGCTGTGATTAAATGCATTAAGCCTTGTGTAGCCAGGTGAACTTCAAAAGAGCAACTTTAGTTGCAAATGTAATCTTTTTATTGGTGTCTGTTTGGCTTTGTCAAACTAAAATTTCTAAAGCTGAATTACAAACCCACGAAGAACACAGTTCCTGTTTTAGGTACCAAAACAGCCATACTTGTATTGGTGCAAATGGTACCATTGTAACACAATAATCAAATGAGTTTCTCATAAACTCTTCTGTAATCCAATAAAGCAACGGCCTTTTTTTAAACCTTTATCAATCTCAATCTGTAATATTTACATACATATCACAGATAGGGGATGAAAGGGAACTGGAATAACTGACAAGCAAACTGAGATAAATGAGAAATAACCCATCATTAAGGCAAAAAAAGCAAAAGGCAGCATTATGTAGAAACTTTATCAAGTAATTAATGATCTATCTGGGAATAATTACATGTGACTCACTGCTCCCATTTTCTTAAATGAATTTAAAAGCTATTAGATATCCCCTTAACAATAAACAGCATATGAGATATTGCTTTGCAGCTTTTGTTCACAAAATTTTATCTTAATCAGTGAATATGGACAGTCTTGAGGAAGCGCGTCTGAGCGGATCCAGCTGCCAGGTAGTGAGAGATATGTGTGCTTAGCAGGAAAAGGCTGAGATAATGGATAAGAAGATGCAGAGCCTTGCACATTAATGGCATTACTACTACTTACATTGTATGGCTCTAACTAGCAGATGATGTTTTTTGTGGCCAGTCTGATATGGGTAAGATGGTCCCAGTGGATGCATGTCCTGAACACTCTGTAAATTGCCTTTTCTGACATGCAAACACAGGATGATGTGGGAAAAGAACATTCCACCACGTGCATAGGTCTGAGTGAGTGGGACAGTCACAGGAGGGATTTAAATGAAGAAAATATACAGTCAGTGTTTGCTGCTCTGAGCACTCATGACATTACCCTACCATTTTTGTTAAAAAATAATAATGATGTATAACCATCATAATATAGTGTATATATGCTGATATATTATGATGTAACCGTGAGAGTGATGCAAGAAGACACAGATGAGGAAAGATCTGACTCAGTGAGAGCCCAAGTTCAATAGAAAAGTCAGAAAAGCATTGTTTACAGAAGGATAAGGCATTCACCTGCTTTGTGAATAGGGTGGATTTGAGGAGAATACTGCACTAAGTTTTCTTCCTGAGGACAGTAAATACTACATCACTATGGATGTATTAGCTGCAGTATTTTTAAAATAAACCAGCGGCAACAAACAGACAGAACTGCTTTAAACAGACAGCAACCTTTAAATATTCTATTTCCAAAGATACAGCCTTTGTCATTATTTTTTTTCACAAAAAATACCATATTTTGCTAACATGATAAATGTTATATGAGTATCATTATTGGTATTCTGTATGAGTGCTAATGACCTTGTATAAATCAGACATAAATTATTTTCACGTCATCCCTAGAGTAGCTGTATGAAAAAGCATGCAGTGATTGTGTACTTTGTTCTTCAATGAAATGCTGCAGTAGAAGTGACTTTGGTGAGGTTTTGCCACTTGATTTCATGGGACAATCCCATTCCCAAAAGGGATAGTAACCTACTTTTATGCTAACAGGCAGTAATTTGAAGGACCATATTAAAAATCTATAGCTGTTGTATTTAGTATTTAATTTAAACTCAATTAAATTGCAATTTGATTGGGAAAACATGAATTCTAAATGTCTAAATGAGACAATTCAAAGACAATTTGTTCATCAAAAGTATGACAACTTTTCAGGCAAAATTTTAGTTCATCCAGTATCAAACCATAGGCAATTTTCAGGTCTGAATTTTCATAGCACACCTAATAGGTATAAGGTATGCAGAAAACACCTGCTTAAAAATATGAATAGTTTGATCCCAACAAATTAAAA